TGTAAATCTAAAACTTTTTTTTATACTAAGTTAATCACCCTTCTAACTTAAGAGACTTTTGTAAAGCTTGTCAAAATGCATTTAATGGTAATTAGAACGTCAAAATCGACCTGGTGGGTGCTGAGATATCTTTAAAAAACCTTTTTTTTATTATATAAATTTTTTTGCAAATAATAGTATTTTTGCAAAGAAATTTACATAGTAAAAGAAAGGTTTTTTAAAGATATCTCAGCACCTACCAGGCTAATTTTGACGTTCTAACTATTATTAAATATGTTTTGACAAGCTTTACAAAAGTCTCTTAAGTTAGAAGGGTGATTAACTTAGTATAAAAAAAGTTTTAGATTCATGCAGGCCATATTCGCACTATAGTAAATTTATATACAGTAGTAATCTGAGTCACATTTTATTATGATACTCTTTGGCTTACTTGTGGACTTCCAATTAATCAATATCATATCAGCTTAATTTAAAATCAAAAAAAAATTAATATATCAGAAAAATATCATTATAAAATATATATATTTATAAAATAATCAGAATATATCATTATATATCAGTTTAAATTAAGATATTTAAGGATAATTAGTTAAGTTGTTATTATATTTTCTTGTAATATATAATCTGTAAAATATCAATTAGCGAATGATGGAAATTCAATTAATTAATATAATATCGGCTTAATTTAAAATCAAAAAAAAATTAATAGCATTAGTTAAAATCATTATAAAATTTAAATATCATAAAATAATCAGATCATATCATAGCATATTAGTTTAAAATATGATGTTTAAAGTTAATTAGTTAAGTCTTTAGTATATCTTCTTGTAATTTATATAATCTGTAAAATATTTATTATTGATTAATGAAATTTTAATTAATTAACATCATATCGACTTATTTTAAATACAAAAAAAAATAATAATAACATTAGTTAAATATCATCATAAAATTTAAATATTTATAAAATAATCAAAGTATATTATTGCATATCAGTTTAAAATAAGATATTTAAAGTTAATTAGTTAAGTCATTATTATATCTTCTTTTAATATATATAATCATCAAGTTATCTGTTGTTTGTTTTTGGTTGATTTTTTAATCGCCTAAATATCTTTATTTTTTTGAATTATATTTGAATATTATATTAATCTTCTTCATATTGGTAGGCCAATATGTTATATTAATTGGTTTAATATCTTACACCTGATTTTAGAGTATTTGTTTTTATATATATTACCTTCATATCATCTTATCATATAAAAAAATTTTGACCAGTATTAGGTGGTAGCCACTATATATATAAGCCTTTTTTTTTTGCCTGCATATAATCTTTTACTCTAACTCTAATTAATCAAAATAAGCTATTTTAATTGTTTTTATATATATTACACTGTATCTAATTTTAGTAAATAAGTTACTTAGAATATAAAATAATTTTAAATAAAATTTTTAAAGATTCAATCTGTTTAATATTGCTTGAAGTAATAAATTTTAATAATATTAATAAAGATTTTAAACATCACTGCAACTTTTTAATAATTGGACTTAAATTAAGAACTCTGAATTACTATTTGATAATTATTACGCATCAACCACATGACGTATTTATCAAAATGATCTCCAAATTTAATATAAAATTAATATAATTATTATTGTGTCAAAACTCATCTCCTATTTTTTAAAGTCGATCTGTTTATGGTATATATTTACATAAAGGTCTGAGTATTATGAAAGACATTTCTAAATAGATGAAGAAGGTAAGTAAATTAAAGATCATGTGACTTAGGCCTGAATTTTATTGGTTGCAGTCCAAATCTGTGGAGAACTATATACATATTACACAACGACAAATTGCTTTACTATAAATATCTAACCCCAAATTCCGTCTAATTTAGGCTGTGATTTCTGTATTTAGCTATTCTGATTGTACTGTAACTTCTATTAAATTTTTTTACTGTAATTGTTATTATTATTATTATTTATTTATTTGTATTTTTTTTTTTTTTTTTTGCTTGTGGTAGGTTGGGTGGGAATAATGATCTTTGATTTATTTACCTTCTTCATCCATTTATAAATGTCTTTCGTAATACTCAGACATTTATGTAAATGAATTTCAGTCAGTAAGTAAATCGCAGATCATGTGACTTCTTGTAAAGTATCATTCTTGTAGGCAGAAGAAAATATTTTCTGTGCGATTTGATTCTTCTATAACATAAAGGTAATCTCTCTTATATAGAAGTGTTGATAGACACTGTGACTAGACCAATTACCTATTGCTAAGATTGATTGTAAATCAGCGCCTGACCTTTGTGCATAAAAGGCTGAAAGGGATCTCGTATCTTTAGCTGTTAATTTGGGCGCAGATTCGTATAAAATTTCTTTAATCCAACGTGCAATAGTATCAGTTGAGGCTGGTGTATGCTTTCTTGTTGATGTTAAAAATAACAATTTTTTCTGTGCTTCAGTACCACGCATATATTTCATACAATTTAGAAGCGTATTTACAATTTCTAGAGATAAAATAGCTGAGATTTCTTTGTAACTACCAATGTAAATTACTTTTGTTCGTGGTTTACTGCCCCCTTTTGTAATTGAGATTTTATATTCCTTGGGTTCTAGAACCTAGGCTGTTGTTCCTTGAAGTGTTGGTCTGAAGGATGTTGTATCGATATAAGCTAGGTCTGACGGTCTACTTGCTGTAGTAATTGCTAGTAAAAAGGCTGTCTTTTGTAATAAACTAAGTAATGACATTTTAGTATTATTGCCTAATGATCTTATCTTGTTGAAAGATGGAGTTAAATCAATCACTTCATCTTTATTTGAATCAGGAGGGTTTAATTTATAGATACCATGCATTGTTTTGCATACTAAAAGATGTGATCCAATTGGTGATCCATTAACCCATTTATGCACCTCGCTTATTGCTGATCTGTAACCTGCAATCGTATTGTAAGCTTTTTGACTTTTAAATTGTACATTTAAAAATTCAGTTATATGGTTGATAGGGCAAGTAATGGGATCGAAATCCCATGTACTGCACCAATCCATTCACTTTCTAATATTTGTTGATACCATTCTTGAAGATGCCTTATCATATGCTGCAATGTATAGGTTAATAGTTTCCAGCGAAAAACCCTGGGCTGATAGTCTATTTCTGATATGCGTGCAATGCAAATCTTCCATCTTGTTATTCTGTGTGCTAGTGGGTGACTGAAAGTTGTCCTCATGGCATTGTGAGATAAGATAATTAGTAGGTCTATTAATAGGGAGAGTAGCAGGGAAAACCATGGTGCTGCTGGCTAGAGAGGAAAGACAAAAACTATGGATACTTTCTCCCTCACTACTTTCTCTAAAACCTTGTGAATTAGAATCCAAGATGAGTTCGTCCAACATTTCCATCCCTTCTAGGATATTGTCAGTGCATTCATTGCTATTGCTTGTGGATCTTCCTTCCATGAGATAAAGGCTGGGGTCTGTTTGTTCTATCGATTCGCAAAGAGGTCTAAGTTCATTTTGCCCCAAATTTTTTGAATTGTCCTGAATACCTTCTTGTTAATGGACTAACTGTGTCTGTCCGCTGTTATGCATGACGCTAAATCTGCTACAGTGTTTAGACATCCCGAAATGTGTTCTGCTACTAGTTTTAGGCCCCGTTTTAGACATATCTCCCAAATATTTTCTGCCAGTATACTCATCTTTGTTGAGAAGGTGCCACTCTGTTTTCTGAGATAGGCTATGGTTGTAATATTGTCGCTCCTTATTAATATTGTTTGATTTATTAGTTGGTTCCAGGTGAGAATAGCCTTTTTTACTGCGGTCAGCTTCAAATAATTTATGTAGTTTGTGCGAAGTTCTTTGTCCCATAAACTATAAGCCATTTGACTATTTAGAACTGCTTCCCAACTTGTTCTTGAAGCGTCTGTATATATGACTATCGTTGGGGATGCTTGGATAATCTCTCTTCTGTTCCATTTTTTGAGGTTGATGATTCAACTCTTTAACTGAGATCTGGCTTCCGTTAATAACTTTAGGTATATATTCCAGCCCTTGGCATGTATGGTTTTGTTCTTTTCTTGCAGAAGAGCTCTTAAGAACAACCTTGCGGGAAACACTGCATTGGTTGTTGCATTCAACTTCCCTAGTAGGGCTGCTAGTTTTCGGACATGTATCTCCTTTTTTTTGAGTATGTGGTAACATTCTCATATAATGTCTTTTACCTTTTTTCGAGGTATGGCTAAGGTCATATCGGTTGAGTTTATATCGAATCCTAGGAATTCGATCTGTGTTGATGGTTTTCTGATTGATTTTTCTTCATTTATTATGAATCCTAGGTGGTTCAAAATTCCACATACCCTCTTTGTATGATCGTGTGCTTCTTGTTTTGAACGAGCTATTATCAGTAGGTCATCTATGTATATTATGATTCTTATTCCCTGTGATCGAATTAGTGCTATTACTGGTTTCAGTATCTTCGTGAAGACTCTCGAACTTGTGGTTAGCCCAAAGGGCAAGACCCTGAATACATAACGTGTACCGAGGAAGTCGAAGGCACAGTATCTTTTGAATTCATCTAATAGTGGTACGTGGTAAAATGCGCTCTTTATATCTATTTTTGTAAAGTGTTCTCCTTTCTTTAACAAAGATTTTACCATATCTATACCTTCCATTTTGAAATGTTGTTAGTGAATAAATGAGTTTAAGTTTCTTAAATCTATAATAGGGCGAGATTCCCCAGAGGGCTTGGGAATCAAAAATACATTTGATACAAAGCATGGAGTATCCTTTGAGAGCATCTCTATAGCTCCTTGACGGAGTAATTGATCTATTTCTTTTTTTAGAGCACTTTTTTCCGTCTCTGGGTAATTTCTTGATGCTATAAGTTGAATCTTTGTAGGTGGTAGTTTTATAAATGATGGGCAGTATCCTTCCTTTATAATTTGCGTAACCCACTATTCCTAAACATTGTGTTAGGAAGGAGTTTAATCTTGCACCAACCTTTATTGTTGATTGGTCTGGCGCATTTGTTGCTGAGAATCGTTTGACCAAAAATTTTGATTTCGTGACCACATGTCTGTTGGTTGGCGATGGTACAAGTTTCCTCTTCCACATGAATAGCCGCGTTGGAAGTTATTGTTCTTGTATTTATTGTTATTACTGAGTCTTTGAGTACGTTGTTTTTGCCATAATGCATCATTAAAGAATTTGTTCTTTTCATTTTCTTTAAAAATAATTGTTGCCAGGTCATCTTCAAACAATGGCTCAACTTCGGGTTTTGGTTAATAGTTAGGATAAATTGTCTTAATTGCAATATTCTGTCTTTGTTCGCTCGTGTATGAAAGCATGTCCAACAACAACACTCTAGTTAACAATAAAGCTGATTCCATAAGTCCCCAAACTCCTCCTGCTTCTTTTTTATCTGGTGGAGGTTTTGTTTCATAAGCCATCTTAATAGCATTATCCAAAGGTCTAAGAACTGCTGACGTATGGTATAAGATTTTGTACAACATTTTGTCAAATTCCTTATGGTTCTTTTGCATTCTCCTGGACATATCTTTGTCCATGGGTGGTGGTTTGAATCTAACAAGTTTATTACAGGAAAATAACTGCAGAAGTTTTTGCCTCTCTTCTGCTTGTAGCATATTGTTCTTATAAATTTTTGTTGGTAGTGTTTGCATTTCGTAAGTAGGTATGAACATCATACAGCCTTGTTCATCAGACAGGTATGGTCCATCATTGAAAAACTGAACATTGACATCGTCGTTAACATCACCTTCGTTTCTTTTCTCGTTGTTGATTGTAATATAATCTTCCAGTACCGGGACACTGTCCTGGTTGTCTATTTCCTGTCTGCTCATAAACTTTGGTGGTGACGCTTCTAAGTTGCGAACTGCACTCCAAAGAAAAAACGGCCTAAGTTAGACGGAATTTGGGGTTAGATATTTATAGTAAAGCAATTTGTCGTTGTGTAACATGTATATAGTTCTCCACAGATTTGGACTGCAACCAATAAAATTCAGGCCTAAGTCACATGATCTGCGATTTACTTACCGACTGAAATTCATTTATTAATTGTGAGGTTGGTTTAACGTGAGGCCAATTATGATTACTAATCATTGGCGGACTTTAAATACTACCGTATACCACTGCTTACATATCCCCCAAAAATAATATCCCCCATGATTAAGACCCGGGTATTACTCACCATCACTACCAACCAGTTTCTTGAATAAGACCCGGGGTATAACTATAATTATTTACTACTTTTAATTTGATATTTCCCCAGATATAGTACCCGGTTCTTCACATAGTACCCATGGGTACTATTCAATTTTAAAAATAGAATTCTTGAATAAGACCCCGGGTACTGTAAGCAGTGGCATACGGTAATTGACCTCACGTTGGAACTAACCTCATGTTGGTCCCTCACATTTATTAAAAGTTTTAACTCACATTAACACATCCGTCATATATGCGTCGTAATTTTTAGGCCGTAATGAATAGATTTTTTAAATGTCTCTTATTGAGACAAAACGGGCCAATAAATTAAAAGCTATTCGCTAATAAAATTACGTACATAAAAGATTTAAATGTGCGCGGATATGTTGATTATTTAATAATAATTATTAATATAATTAATTATCAATGGCGGCCGTTTTCGAAAAGTTGTGAAAAGATGCTGATCACCGTGCCATGAAAATTCACAATACTTTCCAGATTTTCGGAGTTTTCAAGGCCCGCTTTGATCGGATATTTAATTCTTACTAATCAAAATTTACTAATTTTTCGATTCCTCCACATGAATGAGTGAAAACCTGGAACTTGAAATTTGGTTATGATTGGCGTTTTGCGTAATTTCAGTAGTATACTACGTAGCAAAACGCCAATCATAACCAAATTTCAAAGTTCCAGGTTTTCACTCTCCCATACTCATATATGGAAATCATTTCCACATCTTTTGAAAACAGCTGTAAATATTAAAGGAACAATTTCCATACACCCGTGTGTGGGGAATCGGAGAATTTGGAAATTCTGAATAGTAAAATTTGGAAATTCTGAATAGTAAAATTGAAAGTCCAATTAGAGTGGGTCTTGGAAACTGGAAATCGGAAAAATATCTGCAGTACTGTATCAGTTTCACTTTTAGATATATAAAAGTTAATTAGCTTTATGCCTGTTTGTATCCAATAAGGGAACGGAAACATATAAAATTTTAATTCGATACGAATAACAAATTGTTTTTCATGAATTATTTGGAACGCCTTCTTTCTATATAAAATCGAATACTTTTGTCATGTACGTATTATATTTGACATTATTCTGTAATTTGTTTTCTTAAATTAACTAAAAATCATGACCAAATTCGGAACTGTAAGAAACAAGAAAGATCTGTGATCACAGAAGTGATGTAACCTTAGCATTAGTATACGCGGATCCGGCATATTTCCCTATTTTCCGAAATCAATTCTACGTACAACAGGACAAGATATTTACGGATATAAATTATAATATAATCCTGTGATTAAATATATAAAATTATAAAATTATAAATTATAAAATTATAATATATATATATATCTCATTATATACCTTAATAATAAAAAATTAAAAGTGTATAATCATAGGTACATTAAATATCGACATGTAATGTTTCCCTTTATGTCATCAGATTTATAATTACTCAAATATTTAAAGGGATTTCAAGAATAAATGCTATGCCTATGTGATATAATTAGTAATTGAAAAAAATTTGTCGGCATTATATTCAACAAATAAAAATTTTTATTTTATTCTCAGTAATATATATGATATCATTTTAAGTATTGTGAGATTTTCGCCTTGTTCTACTTGGTAACAAATTATCATTCAGTACGCTTATTATATACTCCAAGTAAATGATTCCGAGCATTCAAAACAAAATCTTTTATCAAATACTTCTCGAGGAGAAACTGTTACATTATACAATATTTATTATCCTATTTAGGATGACCGTTAAAAGGAAAGCAAACAGTTGGTTGGTTAATGTTGAGAGACAAGAACCAATGAGAACCCTGACAATATCTGGAGCACAAAAAAAAAAACATGGAGAATCCGATGTAACGTATATCTAGATTAGGTTATTAAAAAAAAAATCAATAACAGATTTTACATACAATGCTCCATAGAACAATAATCCTAATCCTAAAACTAACCTTAAAAACAAACTTTGTGATTCTTTTTTTAGAGATGGCGGTGAATTTAGCAAAGCTCTTGTAACGCAAAAACTGATAAGTGGCCTATCACACATTCAATATTCCCAAATTGATAAAATTTCGGAACTTTGTTAATCCTAAATAGTAGATATTTTTAGAACTCCGCGTAATATATATATATATATTTGTCATCCTATTGTATACTGTACAAATAAGATTTGGGCGCCATTCTTTGCTAATAAGAGGTTCGTCCAATTATTGTAAGTTTTGATAGGTGCAGAGAAAGGTATTAATTACATCTTTAATTTCGTAGAATTTATATAATGACAAAATTCAATTATATTTATGACAATGTTCTTTTGCGTGAGACGTCAATAACAGATAATATATATTTTATTTTTTTATACGGTATATATTATTTATTTGGAGATACCAGTAGATTTCAGCCATAATCATATGATTAGAAATTTATTCAATATTAAGTTGATTGAAAAAAAAATTCTAGGTGAATTAATCTATAAATGGCTAAATTAGAAATTTAAACAAACGTAAAATTCGGTAGAGGAATCAAAAATTAAGGCAAATGATCGGGATAAAATAAGTGGGTAAATGCTGTGTTCTATATACTGTATATGATAATTACAGCAGATATTGATTCAAAGGTTTTACAGGTATCTTTGCTTAAATAATACGTATTCATGGCTGCATAGGTAAGTTAGTGTATCCCCTGGCATAAATATGAGTTAATGTAACCAAATCCAAGCGTCTCTAAAACGCATGCATACATGATTATAATATATATATATATATTATTTTTCACAAGGTTTGGTAATTTAGTATGTAATAGTATATGATAGACAGGGGTGGCTTTTTGACAAATATCATAAGTTTCAGTTCATTACACCATTGCACCATTAACTGATTCACTATAAATATCTAAAATTTTTTTAATATAATCTATATTTTAAGTAAATAATAGAAAAACTGGTTGGAAATATTTTTTATGTACGAAGAAAAACGTACCATTGTTCCATTTTGTATAATAAATGCTCCAATGTGCCAACACGAAGAAATACAGACTTGTGATACCGAAAACTCATTTAACGCATATCACTGTATCATAAGATGATACCGGAAATTTATTGCATGATGTTTGTTTTAATTGGGCAAAACTTGCCTGTCAGTTTTTAAAAATACTGTATTTTTGTAAAAAAAATTTATTTATCCAATAAGAATGTGTAAAGTTCTATAATAAATTATATATTTAATATATAATTTTTATAATATAATAATATTATAAATTAGTTTGATAAATCTATCAAACTCGAATCCCGTAAAATTCCCGACTTGTTCGTATTTGAAGCTGTCTAATTTTTTTTAACAAATTCAATTTAAATATTCGTTTATGTAATTAATTGCTAATTACCGATCAGAATGACATAATATAATCATAACGCATTTAGGGACTAAGTCCGACGAAATGAAAATTAAAAAACAGATTACAAGTTTTCTTGGCAGCATTTATTTACCGGTCCACCTTTCTGAAATTTTCGACGTAACTAGCCGAACTGTGCTTATCCTTATTGCTTAACTTATCCTTATTGCTTAATTAAACCCAATTACTTAATATAACGACTATTTTAATTATTAAGTGTTCATATGATTATGCATCCCCGCTATTATTATAGTAATCACATATTTTAATCTATCTTTCGCGCCTGTTGTGCCATAAGTAATATTGCCGATCACTAACGTTAAGTACTCAGGGGTCCAAAATAAGAATTGTAACGGTAATAAACATCGGCATTTTTACGCGTCTTTGGTTTCACAGATAATTATGGAACACAAAATCTGTCACTAATATACCTAACTGTATTTGCACAGGGGCGGTTGCATAAATAAATACATATAAATTCATGTAAGATGACGAATTGAGTCATGTGATGCATATAGTTAAAACTATATATATTTTTATAACTCAATTGGACATTAAGCATGAATGTTTTTTTTTGCATAATTTGAAGCAAGTAATATTAAAAGAAATTGCTCCTTCATTAGAACTCCTAGAAAGATTGGTAATCAACCAAAATTAGTCTTGCATTATGTAAAAGTAATAGACCAGATGTTTGATTAATAACAAACAACCCTCGCGTAAAACTCAGGATGTAAACTATCGTTATTACTTATATGCTTTGATAAAAAAAAAAACATGAATAAACCTTAATATGCATTACATCAGTTCTGCATAGATTAAAATAGAAATAGAATAGCTACGTACAGTGTACGTACGGACGTACGTACTACTATTATACATGAGCCTACTATTTTAAAGGTTACCAGGTAATGTGTTTTTAAGAGCTTCATAATGACTCCTTACTTTGTTTTTGTTTCAATGTCAATTCCTCAAACAAACATTTGAATGCTTACTATACTGCCATATCAAGGATACAATTTGTTAATCGTTTCACCAGTTACCAGACTTTAAATGCATCTGAATGTAGCCAAAATTATAGAACCGTAGGTTTATTTAGGCGCCGCTGCGGGCTTTAATTACGTAATATTTATATATGTATGATGTTTAATAATAAACTTCAACCGGGAAGGTGAAGCGCGAAAACCAATTTTAAAAAAATTTTTTAATCCGGCGTGCATGGTTTGTTCTCCGCCTTCATTGACTTTGTTGTGGCTAAATACCTTATTAGGACTAGTACTTGAAGTTGTACCTGGATTTCATCTCGGTGGCATATTTTCGGTATTCGGATTTCGGTTATTGTTTTGTGTACCCTCTGATCTAATCAAATTTAAAATCAATTTTTCCCGCTTTAAAAATTATTTCAATTCTTTTTCTTCGTAAAAAAAAAAAAAAGAAAAAAAAAAAGAAAAAAAAAAGAAGAAAAAAAAAAGAAACGACATAAGAATCCAAGGAAAAGCCGTTACAGAAAAAAAAAATCAAAAGATAACCCTCTTTTAATTTTATCAAAAATTCTATAATACTTTTTTTCTGAATTATATTTCTCTTGGATACTACATATGTAATAAACACGATAAATACTCTTAACCGTTTTTTTTCTTGTGACGTGCTTTTTTTTGATTATTATTTATTTTAATTTTTTTTTTGATTAAATTTTTTTTTGTTCTTTTTTTTTTTTTCTTTTTTTTTTTTTTTTTGAAGTCTGTCTGTTGTTCGTGTATTTAAAGCCTATAAACATTATTTATAGCATTCACTCTCACTTTTACAACTATTATTACGACTTCATACATTCGTTATTCTCAATTTCCGCTATTGTCTCCTTTGTACAATGTCAAGGAATACAAACATATTAAACACGTACAATTTTGTAAGTACCTCAAATGGACACGGACCGTTTGATAGGTATTTATGTTTATCTCTTATTCGCGGCTAGTCTTCGTTTCAACGAAAATATACTACAATTATCAATTTATAAAACGCGTTTTCATTATCCTTTATATATAATTAGCACACAATATCGTCTTATTATACGACAACAGCCAAAACAGGCTCGACTGTGTAGCCTGAAAGAGAGAGGTGAAAATCCATCCCGTGTTTAATTTATTCGTACATTCTTGAAATTAATTCATTAAATTAAAATTATTAATAGATCGAAGACCCGTTGATCCTCCTCCAATCATTCAACTCAAAGTAGATTGTTACGGAGATGAAGCACAGTATGTTTTAATCTCAATTATTTCTTTTTATTTATCAATTTATATCAATTTTTTGTTTATTTGTTTTTCTTTTTTTCTAAAGAAATTACCTTCAGAGTCCATACTATTTTATGTGTGCAAATCTCGTTCATCCCTCTAGTAACAATGAACATTTTGCAATTTCATCCAAATTTCTCGCTGGTACTTTAGTTTCTTCTCTTCATAAACTTAAAGACATTGATAATTCTGGTATGTTTATTAATCTTATCCTCTTGATTAATGATACCGTATTAACCAATTTTTTCAATTACAATTGTAAAAAATCAGATGGTGGTTTTTTTGTGTTTGGTGACATATCTGTACGAGTTGAAGGTCGTTATCGCTTACAATTTAGTTTATTCGAAATCATCAAGTATGATGTTCATCTTTATTCACATTTATTTCTCAAAATAATATAATTATAAAATTATTCAATGTTAATTGTCTTCATTGAATAGGAGTGAGGTCGTTCACATACAATCGATCTTATCTGATGTATTTGACGTATATTCCCCCAAAACATTTCCTGGAATGTCCGAATCAACTTTTTTATCAAGATCTTTTTCTGATCAAGGTGTTAGAATAAGAATACGCAAAGAACACCGGATCCAAATGTATTTTAATTTTCATCATTATATGATTAATAAGTTTAAATTTCTTATTTATTTTTTTTATTACTTATTTGTTCATTATTCATGATAGGAAACAACCGCAACCTAGTAGGCATTCCGACAGCGCAGAAGGTGATAAAGATAATGATATCAATGACGGCTCAGATATGACTGAGATTCCAAGAAAGAGAAGCATAAATTTGTCTTCTGCGACATCTCCGTTGGATGTTCAACCTACTGATACTTCATGTTATTCGCAACGTCCCTCGCCGATGATTGATAGAAATGTTGATTATTCCTTTCACTATCCTCTACCGAATAATAACCATCATTATGAACCTGGCTCATCTAGTGCAAATCATATTCAACCTATACAACGAGAATATAGGTGCAATTGCTCTTCATGTGTCCATTATGAATTTAAGCGTGAACCTTTTCAGGATGACCCTATTTTTACTCGTTTAAATTCTCTTGGCATATCCCATGATGCTGATGGCTATCCGAAACGTCGAAGATTATCCAATTCGGAAAAGGCGTCTTATGATTATAGGACAACGTTACCACCATTAATAGAACATCCTAACTTTCTCTCGAATACACATGGTCAGTCTATTTGTTCTAATGATATATCTGATCATTCATCCAAAAGTACTGCCTTAAATTGTTTCACGAAAACACCAATGTCTTCTCAACTATCTCCTGTTTATCCATCTTACCGTTCCGATTCTCAATTACCCCTCCCAAAAATATCACCGACAAGATCGCACACATTACCTCCATCATTTATCAACTCGCAACAACAACATCGCCAATTACCAACTCCACGGACATCAATCGATGTTCCTCCATTGACGCAATACCCTAGACCATCTTTTGATAGTTATAAAGACAATTTTAGCAGTAACACTAATGAGAATAATAGTAACAACATTACGATACCACAATTTACTCCTCATTTCACTTCGAGTCCGCGTCCTGTTCATAATCAACTACCGAGTTCGACGCAAAGTCCTGCTGTTAATGCTCAATCAGCAATACGGTCTTCTTCATTGCCTATATTGTCAAATACTTCCCAAATATTGACAACCCTAGAACAATCAACAACTACTAGATTGCCACCTATTACTGTTTTAACTGAGGATCTTGGAATCGATAGTTTTCAGAAAAAATTGAATTTATCAATAACCAGTTCTCCTCCGCCTTTAATGGTAAATGACAGGAATATTGATTGTTCAAATAGTTTTCGGTTTAATTAAAATTAACAGTGGTGGTAGCATTATCAGCAATAATGGCCGCATGATTGTCATGTAGATTGTTGGTTATGATGTTTTTGGCTTCTTATAACATCATGGTCATTTTAAGAGCAAATTACATATAATTTGTAATATGATGTAAAAATCATATTGAACTTTAGTATCAAAAAAAGAAAAAAAACCTATAATGAACTTTATTTATTTTATTTTATTTTATTATTTTTTTTTTTCTCTTATTTGGACTTTTTTTTTTATCAGAAATTTTATTATGTATAGCATTGGATGGATGGATCAGGTTTACTTATTTTAGGCGATGAAATTGTATATAAAGGCCAACCAGCATAAAAGTTTTGTATTTTACAGAAATTTTTTATATTATCAACCTATCGATTAACACTATTTAAAGATAAGTTGGCTTTTTTAAAGTACATACGTAGTGAGAGGGGGGCGATGATTTGACTACCTTAAATATTTGGTCTAAGGCATAATCTCTCTTCCCTTTCGCATGCCAAAGAAAAAAATAATAATTCAAAAAAAAAAAACAAATAAATAAACAATGACATTCCTTAACGACGAATATTATAATTTATTATTATTATTATTATTATTTTACTAAACAAGTCACTTTACAGTTAATAATAGTTTATTTTTCGTTTTTATTTTATGTAAGATTTAGTTACGAATAATCTATTATATAGTTAGCGATATTTAGTTGGCAGCTTGTATTTAGTAAATAGAAATTTAAATATTAGGTTATTTAAAGTTTTTTATTTAAATATAGTGTATATATTTTTGTTAATAAAATTTTTTATTTTATATTTTACGAATTATTAACAAAAACTTTTATATGTAGCATTTAACAAAGGTTAATAACTATTTTAATATTAAAAAATATATATTTACAGTCTAACCTCTCTATAATCACACCTCTCGGGATAAAGATTTGTGTGATTGTAAAGAGAAATTTACTAAGATGTGCTTATAAAGAAGTTTTTTTTCTATATGTTTATAATAGTTGGTTTTAAAATAAATGTGCTTATAAAGAGAATTTTTATATGATGTGCTTATATAGAGGGTGACTATAGGGAGGTTTGACTGTATTAGTATATAACTTATTTTTATTTTATATAAGCTAGTTTATATATAGTATAGTATACAGTATATGTATTAAATATTATTCTATATATAGTATATATTAATATTTATTTAATAAGCAATTTCTATTTGTATATAAAACATATAAAAAACCAACTAATATCTTGAATTTTTAATTATAACCCACTTTTTGGCTTTTAATATAAACTAGTTTTTGTCAATTTCAAATCTACCCTTATTTTAATTATAAATAAAGATTTAATTTTTTTTTTTTTTTTTTTTAGCTTTTTGACAGTCTTGCTAAAGCTCAAATACAATACTTTATTAAACAAACTTGGATGGAATGAATAATGACAGTATGAAAATTGCAAGCCTAATATCACCTAGCTACATTTAGTGTGCCCAAGAGCAACTTGTTGTACCAACCTACATGTAAGTTAGAAGACCTTGTCAGTCTGCCAAGAGCCTATCCCTTTATTCTTACTTTTTTCACCAAGAGCAAAAAAAAATAAAGTTTCATATTCTCAATACTGGAACATACATCAAGAAGAAAAGGAGTTTATATACAAAAAAAAAAAACAAAAATAATAAGAAATAAAAATAAGAGAAATAGAAAATGTAAAAAAAGAAAAAACAAAGAGATAAACCCTGATAGGCTGAACAAGAAAAAGCTATCTCCTATAAGAAATAGCAGCTACCTTGACAGGCTGAACAAGAAAAAGCTATCTCCTATAAGAAATAGCAGCTACCTTTATCAAGAAATAGCACAAAAACAAATACAAAAAAAAAGAAAAAAAAGAGGGTACACTATTATAACCTGTGCCAGGCAAGTATAAAAATTATATAACAAATATAACATTTGTATATCTCTACTATAAAGCTTTGCCTTAATGTTAGTATTTGTATAACCAACTTCAGAATACCATGGATCTAATCCGTATTTCAAGCCAGGTGCTGCCACCATCCATAGACCTGTATCTCAAGCTACCTGCTGCTGCCATTAAAACCCAGAACCTGTTCAAATTAGTAGTACCGTATTCATCGAATACGTGGTTGTAATCTACTTGGCTTTCCAGATTTGGGATGTAAACAATGTCGATTTTTTGGAGGGGGTAAGCCAAATCTTCACTTTTTATCTAACAAAAAATTTCAAAAGTAGTGAGAGTTATGGAAGGTAGTTTTAAAGATAAAGAGCAACTACTTGCAAAACTTGTAAGAAGTGTGTTAAAAAATAAAGACTTTTGTTGTTCTCCTTGTACTTTCTGTTTGACTCTTAAGAGACTTTGTCGACAGAAACCCTTCTTTTCAGAACACCGTCTTCACCAAAATTTTCTATACAAGAGCACTTCCTGCCAGTTATCTTATATCAAAATGCTTTTGGTTTGCATGCTAAATATGTAAAGGAGTTGAGAAAGTGCAGTTAACCTTTACAAAAACCATCTCATCAGAATACAAAGCAATGTTATCTTCAACAAAATTTTATTTTTCTTTGGGCAGAAAATTTGTGGCAAGTAATTATCAGAAAGAGTTGGGATTTAATTTTTCATTTATAAAAATTATTTACAATAATTAGCATATTATACAAATTTTTTATTTAATAAATTATAAAATGGGTCATATTTTAAAATCTTTTTAAAAAAAATTTTTTATTTTTATAATAATACAAATACTATATATATTGATTTTAGAATTTTGTAATTAGATTTTTATAATTTTAAATTTGTTGAAGTTTTTTTTTTAAAAAATCATTTTGGTAATTAAATTATTCAAATTGGTTAGATAGTTTAAAAGTTTTTATTTTGTATATTTTAAATAATTTATACTGTACTGTACTAGCTATATTTTTTTAGAAGTATTTGTAATTTTAGTTAAAAAAAATTTTTTTTAATTATTTATTTAAATAGTTAACTTTAAAATTTTATACTAGAAGCTAGTATTGTATTTAATATATATTTTAATAGACTTAATTAGGCATCGCTACCCCACGATGTGCTTATACATCACATTTTAATGATCGACCATTCAAATTTTAAGATTAGGTGTAATATAGCACAATCAGAATAGATTCAAAACAAATGTTCATTTTGACAAAAATCACTCATAATTCAAAATTTTACTTATGAAACTACCCTTTGTGCTCTAACAAAAAAAATTTCTTGTGAAATTTTACTATAAAGCTCATCTTACTCTAACCTTAGCCCATATACTACTCTCACTTCGCCCTAACCCTAACTAACCCTAACTAAACAAAAACGTGATTTATTTTAGATAAATAATAATATATATATATATGTGACATATAAGTACATTGCTAGTAGTGATGTATAGATTTATTCTATTTTAATTATATTTTTGTCTAAGTATTTAAAATTGGTTTAAATTGTTTAAATCTATATTTCAAGTTCAAATAATTAATAAATTAATTTAAAAAATAAATAATTATTTATTTTTTAAAAAAAATTAATATAATATTTAATAAAATTTTAAGTAATTTTGATTTTAAAAAATATTAAAATTGTTTTATATACAGTAAATTATTACTAAAAACTATATTTGCAATTTATTAAAAGATTAATTAATTAAAACTCTTTGATTCTAATTTATTTATTTATTTATTTTTTTGGTATTAAGATGATCTCTTTGGCTAGGAACTTTTTATTAGAAGTATATTTCAGTTACAGTAAGGGTATATCAAGCCACATATGTACTTTTAGTACCTAATTTAAGTAGTCAATCCAAAGATTCTATACTATTTGCTAAATCTGCATTTTAGCTATGAGTAATATTGTTAGTCAAAATTATTTTTTCCAATGTCTAAATTTGTCTAAATTAAATTGTCTAAATGTTATTAGTAATTTTTAAAAAAATAACAATGTCAAAATTGCTTAAATTCAATTTGCCTAAATGCCTAAATGTCTAAATTATTTCGACTAACAACACTAGCTATGAGAGTACCTATTTAAACTCTTTGACTATAACCTAATTTCTATTCCATGGGTAACCTCTAATTCAAGTGTAACCTTATTATGCTTATACCAAGAATCTATGCGATACCTCTAAATTTTGCATTCACTTTAGAACTTATTATTTATTCTTGAAGTAAACTAATATTATATCACATGTCCTATATATGAAAGTGTATGCTTATTGGGTAATTTCATCACAATTAGTATATATTGTTTGCTGCCATTGTGTTTGTATCTCATACTACCTTTTGGAGTGTAGCTATAATACAATCTATATCTTAAGTACAACTTTTTTTGATTGATCCTATATTACTTATTTTTATGTTTACAAACTCTAGTATTTATTCTGTTACTTTCTATATCATACTTTTTTTGGTATCATTAGTCTTCTAAACCAGATAGCTCCGAAAGATTGGTCTGCCCAAACTGGAGTTTTTTAGGCTCAAGTCTAAAGGTTACTCAATTTTTAGTTCATATTTTCATAATATATGATCTTTTTTTCTGGAGTTTTATTCTAAAATCTTTTAATAGTTATCCAGTTATTGGAATAACCAAAGAATATATAATTAGCATGGCTCTAGTAATCTTGGCAGCCTAGTTAGTAGATCTCTTTTGCTTAAAGAATCTTTGTTACTCAAATTCTTCAAACTTTTTGGGACCAATTGGATCAGTTTTGTAGTACTAGGTAGTATCTAATTAGATCTAATTTGCTATTTTTTATTTGGAATTTGCCAAGCTAGTTTTTGGTTCTCTCAGACTACTATGAGTAGATCTTAATAACAGTAAATCTAGAAAGCTTTATTATAAGTTTGTACTGTTTATACCAGTTTGCATTCTTTTATACAATGATACAAATGCTTTCAGTATATATGAGATGTTGGTATATCCTAGTTTACAGGTATAACAATTTAGAATAAGTTATTACTATAATATAAGTATATT